CTCGTCATCATAAACTGCAGTATATGCAACAAGGAGATTTTTAGTTTTATCATTTTCCTGAGTGGAAACGAGCCTTTGTGCATGAGCGTATATTTCCTGGCAAAGTTTTCAAATGAGTTCTTCCACTGGCATCACACGTTTGGTGATTTCCTAAGCCACAGTATTTATTGATAAGGTTTTTTGGTACTACTTAAGCATCCAAATACGACATCAGTAGTCTGTAGTTAACACATTATCATAATCACCGCCAAAGAGGCCCAGATGCAAGGTGACCGCTGCAACAAGCATTAGCCCGAAGAGAATCACAGCAAATGCAACTAGGCTATTGTGGACAAGTGCTGAGTCACCATGCAGAGGGGGTGCAGGCCGCTTGTCAGGGGAAAGGCAGGGGGTAGGGGGGTGGCAAGGCTTCGAGACTTGTTCTCTATAGAAAGATAATAACTGTGCACACAAAAATATACATGCACATATATACATGCATGCACACGTGCGTGCACATACACATGCATTCACACTCACACTCTTACTCTCACTCTCACACACACACACACACACACACACACACACACACACACACACACACACACACACCTGTGCATATGCGCACACACACACACCCACACAGTCTCCTGTATGGCAGTGCATGCCTGGAAAATAAGAGGGGTGCGGTACATACTTTCATGGTGATATGGTACATACCAAAGATTTTGTGATATTAACTTCAGGATGCATTTATAAAGCGAAAAGAAAAAAAAGAATTATGACCTTGACTCAGATTGCTGTTTCTTTAGACTCGGCCAAGTAGGGTTCTTGGTGACTTGGGAGGAAAGTAGCAATACCGTGATTATTCTTATAGTTTTATTATCATAATTATTATAATCATTAGTCCTCCAGGTTTTGGCGGTATGTTTTCCCAAGAAAATAAGATTGGCAATACTGGAATAAGTGGCCTCTATATCATACGCTCTCCTTCCATTCCAAGAACATAAAGACCATTGAACTGTTTGCAGTAATATGTCATATGTCTTGAGAAAAATTTCCTTGTAGAAATTTCAGGATGCCTTTTTTATTTTTCTTCATTTCTTGTGTCAGATTTATATTTTCTCATCGGAATTTTGCATTTTAGTACAGCATTTATTGTGAGATTAGTATGTTTAGTATGAGCTCTAAAGAAAAAGGGATGGCAAGGGAAGAGATGTGGCAATATCCCACGGCAATGGTTGTACACTTTTTCTTTTTTCCTAAACATATCAAGTCTCATTGGACTTTGGTAGAATAAGTCTGGATGATGGAGACCTAACATTTGATCCAGCAGCACTCTTGCCCTGGTTATTTACCCATTGTGTGCTCTAAAATTGCCAAGAAACTGATACCAGTTTTTGGGAATGTCAGTATTATGCTATTTTACAAAACAGATTTTTCAATTTCTGGAGAACACAAAGCTTGATGCTGTCCCTTGAAAGGATGATGCTTCCATTGAAGGATTTTTCAGTGATTGGCTTTATTTCCTTTTTTCGTAAGATGTATTGCCCAACGATTGGACATTACTGACCAAGATAAGGCAATGGAAGGGGAAGAATGACATGCTTGGGCAATTCTTAATTATAATTTATGGACTTGTATAATGTCATGAAATACAGATTAACCACTTCATGTTTTTTTCTCTCTTTAAAGTGTAAATTACATATTCATTCTTTCATAGAAGTGCCTCGGACAAGATTATCCAACCTCCTTCCCCCTACTCTCATGATTGGTATGTCTGTATTAAAAAAATAAATAAATAAATAAAATGAAATAAAATAAAATAAAATAAACTGACTACTGGTAAACCAATGTATAGATGCATCTAAAACTGGCTTCCTGTGATGGCCAGAGACCACATTCCAGTATCCTGTGAATTGTGAGCTTCACTACCAAGCTTCCCAACTATAGCCTTTGCACACTCTGCCAATATTGTGAATCCCTGACAACACATTACATTATGATTTTCCTTTTGGTAGCCATCTGGTGGTGTTGCTGAGAAGTTGACTTAGTTCTTGTTTAGTACGTATCACGAGAAGAAGCACTGGTGTTTGGTTCGCTTTCTAGGCTCGCTGTTCAGATTATATATAAAAAAAAATTGCGAAAAGAAAAAAAAAAAAAGGAATGGAAATAAGTATATATATTTTTTTCTTACTATTCATGTTTTTTTCCCTTCTGAATATGGCTGACTTATGTTTTAAAGGTTATTTTCTTTTTTTTTCTATCTACTAGCACCTTTACCATCCTGCACCACTGTTTTAGAGATGGAGTTGTCCAGTTCCCTTTGCTCTGTAGCAGGAGGCAACACTCACCAACTGTCTATAATAAAGCCTGCAATTTAGGATGTTTTTTTATTACCTTTTATCATGTTGTTTGACTTAAAACTTTGACTTAAATTTACTTAAAACTCATCCACATTGGTTTTGAATGTATAATGCAGCTTCATAGACATGCACATTTTTGACAAATATAAATTAGA